ACACAGCTGCCGACACATTCATAAGTAGTATCTGCACCATCTTGACAAATGAGTCTGGGATGCTCATCTTTGTCATGGCTTCGAACATAAAGGACCAGCATATGGTGTCATAGGCCTTGCAAAAGTCCAATTTAAGGATGATGAGCTACTGATCGGATTCTTGGGCCCAATCAATTGTTTCATTATGCACAAGAGTAGCATCTAATATGTAGCATGAGGGTAGAAAGTTTGTCTACCCTTCATAGATGATCTTGGGTAATAATGCTTGGAGTCAAACTTGAAGTACTTTCCTCCATATTTTGTATGAAGTATTCAATAACGGAATATGTCCCTAATTTTGGATCATTTTCAACTCGCCTTCTTTAAGTAGAAGCATCATCAACCCGGTGTTCATTCTTGGTGTCAACCGTCCGTCATCGAAAGCATTTATAAGTATTTGGCAAAAAAAATTCCCTATCCGTCTCCAAAATTCCAACTAGAATTGCGTAAGGCTGTCGTATAACTTGGACTTTTTCCAACTGCCATTATCTTCAGCGCCGCTAGGACTTCTAGTTCCTCCGACTTTCTACCCAATTCTTGAAGAATTAATGTCGGAAATTTATCGATGAATGATGTCGGGATGAGTTTGAGAAGGGCAGCCTTGTTCGCTCAATGACTGTCCATGGCAACCTTGGGATCCATCGCATCTTGGTCTAGAAGTACATCATTCACCTCGGAGAAATTGGATGTAATGTCTATGGTGTCTGTGCCTCGATGAGGTTTTATAGTCATGTAAACCTTCTTTCATCAGTTCCATTCATACTGAGTAGTCAAACGTGATTCTCTATTTGAGTTTTGATTCACGCTGCAATCCTTGTTATACGGGTCCAAATAATGCTTGCTCGGTACTAATTCATCTGTGTCCTACATTTGAGTATGTGGCTCCGAACTAAGCATCGGAATGATGAACTTCATTGAACTGGACTTGTTCAACATAGGAGGAACTTGGGGTTCCTCATCCCATCCCCTCGGCCGTGTTCAAATGCGTCATGTGGCATGTGCTGGTACCACCGGTTGACTTTGAGGTTTAAGTGACTCCTTGTGAACTTGCAACGGATATGACAATACAATGTGTGCCTTTGGGATGGAATTATTGCTTGAGCGGAGGGTTGAAGAGTAGAAGCATCTATGTTTGAAACTCCCATGGTGAGCTGGGACGGCTTGCTACGCTTGTCCTCCAACTACATGAATACTTCGGCGTCTGGTTGGAGACGTTGACAGTGCCTTGGTAGACTTCGGTACGCTTCATTATGGCAACGTGGTCGGTAGTAAGGGGTACACTGAAAACCTTCATCTGGACATTGAGCTGCTTCTCGGGATTATGGCACCTGAGAGCTTTGTTCATCATGACATGTGGTTGTCTTCTTGCTTGAGGCTGGGTTTCAAGGACCAACATTGCGCTGGTGGTGATTCGTCTTGCGGTAACTATGGCATTGTGAGATCAAATGCTGGTGGTGCACACAAAGTCTGCAATTCAGCTCCAAGGCGTCATACTGGACCAGGATGGTTGCACTACCGCTAGTAGCACTATATCCTACAACGGCTGAAACCCACTCCTGCTTCATGTTGACTTTGACGCAGAAGCGAGGGATGGAGCTTGGTGTGCCATCATCGTGAATTGCTAGTATCAGATCCACTTGAACAGCTACCTTAAGCGTGAATTTTTGGTATTCTTGTGAGATTTCCAAGAAGTAAATCCATATTGGCCACACGATTCCTTGAGGTATGCGTGGATTGAAACGATGGATCCATTTTTAATAAACCACCCTGGCTCCTGTGAAGATGTGGAAGCCTTTTGTAAGTAGTATGTGAGTGGTGTCATGTCCATCAATCCATAAGTATAGGAAGTGTGGATTGAGTCGTCGGTGGAGGATTAACTTTCCCGGAGCAACGATGTCATTCTATGACTCTCACCAAGTCTTGATATCTGTGTCGTGGAGATCACTCTCTACGACACATGCTATTACGACGTGTGCTGTTAGAGTGAGAATCTCCTGGGTTATTGTAGCTTGTGATTTCTCATCCATGTTAAAAGAGACCATGCCATGCACCATGAGACCTTGATGATTACAAAATGTTCCACGCGGTAGGATTACCTCATCTTTACAATGAAATGGATCCACTGTACCTATGTCGAAGGGCGCTTTGTCCAACACTGTGCAGAGGGGACTTATTCCATCTGCAGTCTCTGATTCCTGCGCTATGTGACCCTGGCCAGTGGACCTTTGTAGTACTCCTTTGTAATTCCGACTAGACGCTATAGTGCCCTAACCCTAACTCTACTAATCAGAGGTGAATCAAATCAAGAAGCTACTCAAACTTCTCACCATTGTGATGTGTTCAAGAATCCGGTTTCAAAAATAGCAACCTGTCTTACTGCCATTAGGGTTCTTCGCAAGGTGTGTGTCACAGCACGCACGTCTGCAATCGCCAACACTCCTCGGTGCACAATTTCATCTGTCTAAAGGAGCATGAGAACATTTCGTGGCCAGAAATTAGAGGTTTTGGATGTTGAAACATTGTCTCTTCTCTACTACCAATCAACCCATAAGTCAAATGTTCCATCTGCGTGTATATCCATTTTTTGGAGGAAAGTCAAATTTGGGCACTGATTAATCCCAACCTTAGATAGAAATCCATACCACATAGGTTAGAAGATTGATCCCAACACACCTTTGGTGGACTCTCTCATAGAGATTTGAATCTCAAAAATGAAAATTCACATTGATTGAATGTCAGAGTGAAGTGGAGAGAAAATATATTAAGTTAGATTCTACAAAAGTATAGAATCTAAAAAATAAAACAAGAAACTGAACACCAAGAACTTGATCTAATGAAGGGTTTAGGGTTAGTTGATTCTAATTTTGTAGAAAAATAGAATCAAAATTTTAGTAATTGAAATAAAACACCTAAATATTTTATAATTGAAGATACGAGGTGGTATCCTTTTGAAGTGAAAGCTTCTCATACTATTTATTATTAGGTCAGATGTGTTAACTACCCCTACTTTGCATAGAGGCGCCATTCTATACATGAACACACATTGAATATTTGGGATCCACTTAGCAATCCTCTATGGTACTAAGCGAAGTCCATTCAATATCATTGATCATTAAATGGATCCTCACATTAACCACATGGCTCTATGAACCGTAGGTAACGATTTTGAAAGACTGATTGGTCTACACCAGGAACAATGTATTCGACGTTGTGCCGCATGACATTCTCCGACGCATTCTGAGACGAAATTTCATGTTTTCCTCCTCCTTTGGCACCTATGGTTGAGATCAAAATTTTTATCCCACAAGATATTTCTGTTTGGATACTTTCAAATTTCTTCTTAGCAATTAAGACGTAAATAACTGTTAAGGGAGCGTCACACCGAACAACATGTAATATTACAATTACTATATTTAACTGAGAACATCTAAATTTTACCATGTGCATTACACATGTGCATCAGAACAATTGTTGTCTAGAGTAATTAGTCACATGTTGGTTATACCAACCAATGTTTTATTCAAAAAATGTGAACAATTTTCGTAAAGTAATCTACACAAAATAATAAAGAGAATTTAAGTCTTGTTGTGTAGATTAGTAGACTTTTAGATACTGTAAACAACTTGTTGACTATAATATGGTTGACGTAAACCTAAGGATAGAAAAAACGAAGATAAGTTGCCAATGCATAATCTCACACAAGAAGAGAATGCCTCAACCAACGAACCTTTAACCCATCGAAACGACAATCCTATCACTGACAGCGAATCCTGTATGAGATGCATCGAAGTTGTGCCTTTCAGTTCTGCAGTAATGGAATAATGGAGTAAAAACAATAAAAGCTGCGAAGTTTCGTTTTTATAGACAATTTTGTTTTCTTGTGAACACCCGGCACGGTGACCGCCTGCTGTAGTTCTATCGTTCTGGTTGTGAACATTGAATGCTTCACATGTACATTCTCGAACCTTGCAGTGAATTACAAGAAAAATAACTATGTAGATAAGAGCCTGGTGTGACCAGCTTAATGCACAATCCCGTCAACATGCTCTCCAGTATCGATTTGCGGTGTTTGACCCACTTTGAATGATGACTAGTGTAGACTGTGATCAATAGTATGTAACGTACCAGCCGAATCTGGGAAATATCGAGTAGTCTGGGCAGTGAGTTACGCAAAAAATACACGACCTCACATTGAGAGTGTTCTGGAAATGATAGTACCATCTGCACTTCATATCTAGAGAAGATATAAAGTGCAGATGCTGTACACATGTTAAGTACTTTCGGGTCAAGGCTTGCCTCTGTCATTATCTTGAATCCTATTGCCACTGCAGAAAGTGATGCACCTCAGTGCTTATTGACCTACCTAAATGCGCAACGTTATACTGGAAAACACCTCCATGGATACAGATGACTCGGCAGAAGAGGGTAGATTTTTCTGCAGTGATCCGAGAGCGATGATACTTTGTGGTCCTCATAAACGAGAAGCCTTGCATTGTGCTGTCTCTCGAGATAAAATGCTGCGTTGTTCTGCAAGAAAGCACAATCTCAGACTTGAAGAAACATGTACATGCGCATGCACGTTAAAGATCTTATCCTCCTCAAAAACACAACAAATATGACCATCAAAAAAGTTATGGCAACAGCACCAAAAAAACTTGTCCTATAGTACCATGTGAAAGGGATGGTTCACTTCAAATCGACAAAACAATAAGACAACTTCCCCAATAAAGGAATCGAGATTTGTTAGTCACGACCAATACATGTAATGGTATGTGCCTTCGTGACGTTAAACCAAAATCATTGTGGGTTATCCACTACACATTTCCTCAATTCAAAGGTTACGGGGAGGAATTTATCAAGATAGAATCGACTAAACAAGGAACAATCTGGCTGTATGCAGGCATGATTAAAAAAAGGTAGTGATGCCAAATATACATGACCAACAGACGTGAGACATTACAATGGTTGAAAGGGCGCAGATACGTGCACGAATAAGAGTTGATAATAGTCACAACCCCATCCACGGTGCCGTTTTAAATATAACTGCCACTGTTAAAAGCAATTCTTGAAGTCAATAAGGCTCAGTTGCCTAAGATGGAGAGACACCGGAAGGAGAATGTTCTTTGGACAAACTGCAGGCAGACCCGCCAGAATATTAACACCTGAGATTTCTACTGTATTCTGGATTTCACGACCATTCGTATCCTTTATCGTGGCTATACCTATCTGACTTTCTACTCGCAATCCACACATATGAATTAGGCCAAGAAACTGAAGCCATCCGACATATGTAAGTCCAAAGTAGAGAAGTTTCACTATTTTTGCTTTTTGGAACACTGATAATATATAACATGAATCCCACTTCCGGCCATGAATCCTCCAACCTCAATGCTCATCAAAGAGACGGCAATCAGAGCTAGTTACTGAGCAGAAAGAACTTTAAAAACATCACTCAAGATTTCCCAACTGCTCGGACATCGGATGTACAGGAAAAGCCAACAAGGCTTACCTGCGGAAGGTAGTAGTGTCCCATCCAAACTTTGACAATAACTTCTATCATTTAAACAATATCTCATGCACCATTGAGAAAATATCAACACCATGGAGCTGGCTCTGCTATTTCTCTAAGTCTTTGTTACTTACTCAGAATCTCCAGTCAGAGCTCGTCTAGAATATGTAGTACATTGGGTTAGGAAGCTTAAAAGTTCGAGCTCCCGCGGCCGGTCCCATGAGATCACTCCATTGATCTCCTAGACTGCTCCAAACACGATAACCTTTCTTCTCGTACTGAAGTCTGCGTTGTGACTTGTAGTCTATTGCTGTCATCCCATTCTCGCCTGGCAACCTGGATTATGTGCAATTTCCCAATACATCAGTACATCTGAGAAAGCAGGACTTTCAGCAATATGTCAGACCGGGACAACAATAGAAGAATTCATCTGTTGTTAGTGACTTTTATGTAATTGAAGTATCCAATCACCATAGCTCATTTTTCTGTGGGTGATTCCTGATAAAACTTCTCCATACTCTCCGATCTATTTCCTCCTGACTTTAAACAAAGCATAAGGCCTGTACACATTCACGGGAGCGAAATACACAGTTCAAATAATTTGCATAATAACAATTAGATTCTCGACCTTCAAATCCTACATGATTCGAATTCAGATCCAGTACATCCAGTCTAAAGAAGAATTGGTTCACAACGGAAGCAAGACTGAGTCAGACGGCTAGTAATCTAAACAACCACGAAAAGTTCAAAATGGAAGTTCCCTCAAGACACCCTGCGGGTGTTTCTTTCGCCATTTTCAAGATAGAATCGAAACTAGCACGCAAATGTCCAGATGAATATTATTTCTCTAAATTCAATCATGATATCGAAACTCGAATTACATATCACTACGTCAGATTATGAACCCAGGGCTCAGCACTTGCCATATTCTCAAGACTTTTTGACAATCTGACGTTAGTTCATCGATATGTGTTTGGTGCTGTCTACAATCGGTATCGGTAGTCCGTCTACATTCAGAGTGAATGGAGCAGGTACTAATAACTCATAACTACTTTCAGGTTGATCTAAAACACAAAACAAATTACCTCAAAGAAAGCTCAGTCCATCCCTCATAGCCTGCAGCAATAAGGTTTGCACTAGTGACGTTTCGTTGATTTTCGGGTCTTCCGGTGAGGAAGATAACTCCAATGTTTGCATCCTTGAGCTGGTTAAAGAGATCCAAGGTAGCATGTAATGGAAGTCCCTTTTGCTGGTATACCCACTCATCCCAGACAGTCTCGTTGAACAACTCAGCTCTGTAGATTGAATTTGCACACTGGTTAGTGAATCTGTCTAAAGCGTTGGCAGAACCAAAGATACACTGTACCGCAAAGTTTAATCTCAAAACCAAACCTTGAATTTAAAACTCAGAATGGTTGACAGAATGCGATCAATCCCATGATGCAAAACCTATCAACGAGATGAAATCTCTAGATCAAGTCCTCCAAAACAGAGAAAACGCGCACATAAAGTACCAGCATAAACACGAACACAGGTACCTCCTGCTCGAACTAAATGCATATAACAGTATATTTACTACTAAGGTGAAAATAGACATCAGCTTCCTTTAGAAGACGGACGAGCATGTCAGTTCCATCCGTGCATTATCTGAACGTCGTCCATGAAGTAACGAAGTCCATCCTTAATTCATCTTCCTCAACTTGTTAACAGGGGGGACTGGTAACAGCGGGGACTGCTATTTGACCAAGAAGTTGGAACTGAGCTTGATCCTCTCTTCGAATTCGTGAATTTCTTAAACTCGTCTGAGCACAAGAACGTCACAAGTCCTGCTTTGAGGTGATATTCTTGATTCTGCTTGATAGCTGATGCTCTTCGGCTTTTTGTCGAGACGGTTCTTTATCAAATTCAAGAATGGCTCATTCGCTCCTCGATTAACAGTATGCTTATAACGTTCTTCAACACCAATTGACTGGTAATTTTAAAAAGGTAGTACTCTGAAGTTACTTGCTGTCTACTGAAACAATGGGATTTGGAGTACGTATATTACCCGTAGTTGTGTTCAGCATAGTAGGGCATGTTGGAGAGAGCAGTTTCATCGATGTCCATTACCACCACATCTAGCCCGTCGCCTTGAGCTGGAACGGTCCTCAAGTAGTCGCTGGCTGCATTAATCGCTCCTGCAAAATCTATATAGTATTGGCCCCCTCGCATGTAGTCCGCAACATGGCTCTTGCATTGCTCGGAGACAACCCACCCTTGAACGTTATTGACTTCTTCGTTCAAAATGAAGCTATCACAAGATCTGACTGCCCTCATGTGTGTATCCGCGCTCACGGCTATAGGTTGACCTTGGCAAGACCCCAGCATCACGGACAGAGTAACGACCAAGGTGAAGAGAAGAATGCCTATAGTCGCAATAGCAGAAACTAACACCGTCACCACCAGGGAAGACAAATACACTCCCGAGTCATCGACTTGAATATATCGGCTTCCAAATTCTGCTGACATCAAAGAAAGAAGCAACTGTCAAGAACACCGACATTGTACATGCGGAATTTCGAATAACTAAGACCTTTAAGAACCTACGGCAGACATGAAATAATCATCCCCAACTGGCAACATCTTACGCCAAAATCTTGACAACACTTCCTCAGAAAAACCGTTCTGTACAGTAGATTCCAGTGTCACAAATTAAACACACTACATCTCGGTGAAGCGAGCGGGACCATGCTGAATCTCCCAACCTTTATCCAAGACAGGCACGAGGATTCATCTCTTATGTACAGATGTATCTACCTGGGGCTCTGTCGGGCAAAACTCTGTCGAGCCATAATCCCGAGATCTATCTCCAAACACTGCTGACAATTCACATCTAAGCGTACGGAATAGTGTCGATGACGATCCTTCTAAGTGTAAGGATCACCACCGAAAGTGGCATGGCTTGCACGCATGCTCTCGATCGAGACACGGTACATCAAATTCCACCAATAAACTAGATACTGACGTAGAGAAAGTGTATAAAAGTCAGCTGTAACTACTTTGGGAACAACTCAAACTTGATCTCACTCTGATTTGCATAAGATCAGAAGACACGATCCTTCGAGATATAGCTAACAAATCAGCTCCAGCGACTATATCATTATGATTTCGACTTGTTCTAGCGAATCCCTGTATACCTCTATTTCATAGAACAAGTTGTTCAGATTCACCACGGACTCAATCCTCCAGTTCACTGCATATTCTCTCAGACCGGCAACATCATGGTTCGATCTACACCTACTACTTGCGGAGTGACAATGACGAGGGTTCATAATCTCCTAAAACATTTTCTCAAAGGCTACACATGCTGAACAACCAGACGGAGCAATCAGCTGACTATAAAGCCGTGGATCTACAAAAAGAGATACGCGAGAGTTCGCAAGATGCGAGATCTTAGAAGTAAATGTAAATCGATACAGAGCTGCGTCACTAGCTCTGAACTGCACAATCCCAAGCATCATCACGGCGAGCCATGTTCACTGTCTACGGAAGAAGGTCGATCTAGATGGCGCAAGCGTGGACGAAGGAGAGGCAATGGACACAGCGAATTTCGACAGGTGCGAGAAAGGTGAGAGTAGCAGCACCTGAATTGCGTCTGCTCAGAAGGGCATAGCTAGAATCATGCGGGCCATGACCAAAGGCTGGCAGAGAAGCGGAGGAACTCGGCCTGGACATCATTTTGGCTAAGCTTGCACTGGGCGTCCAGGAAATTGGTTATTTGTGAATCTCCAACAGTCTCCGGACCAGCTGCGACTGCTGCTGTAGCACTCTTCGCGAGGAGGAAGCGTCGACGACAAAGTTCGGGGCGAGCGCTGGGTCAGTGGGCGGGTCAGCTCGTCAGGCAAACTCCGGAAGCCGAAACCTGAACGGGGCGGGACACTCGACAGAAGCCCTGCGTCTCCCGCAATTCATCCCGATCAAGGAGGGCGTTCATCAATTCAATCAGTCACTCTCGCACTCTCGCACTCACTCACGCATTCTCGAATCTCTCTAGCTACCTTCCGTCACCGCCGGCCGATCGATCTACAACACAATCCCTATCAAATTTCAGATCAGGCCGCAAGCGATCGCCAGGCACCGCGCGTTCAGTCCGACTCGTCAAAACTCCGCATCACGTCTCGAAATTCGATCGAGGTGCTCCTCTCCATCCATTCGTTCCTCCCCTCCGCTCTCCGCTCCTCGTCCCGCCCTCGTCTCCTCTCGTCTCGCCCTCCGTCTCGTCGCGTCGTTGTCGTCGTCGTCCTCGTCGTCCCCCAGCTCCTTGTCGGCGAAGCCGTGACCGCTCCAACTCCCCTCCCGTCCTCCTCCGTCCTCTCTCCCCTCTCTCTCTCTCCTCTTCCTCCGCAAGCAAAGCACCTCTCGTCCGTCTGTCCGCGCTGCCCCTCGCTCCCGTAAAGAAAAACTTTTCCTGCCGTCCCTTTCCTTCCTTCCTTCCTCCCTCCCTTCCTTCCACTCCCTCTCCTCCTTCTGCTTCTTCTTACCTCCTCTTCCCTTCCTCAGTTTCTCTTTTGTTTCTTTCCATTTCCTTCCTTCCTTCCTTCCTTCCCTTCGGCTCGCCCTCGAGTCGTAAGTCTGTCTCTCCGCTCCACTAGACGCTCGAATGCGCGCGGGGTCGCTGGCTGGCTGGCTGGCGCGGCTCGCTGGAAGATGTAGTAGTAGTAGTAGTAGTGGGGGTGGGGGTGGGGGAAGTGTCGTAAGGCGAGATGATGAGTGAAGGAGAGCGAAGACGACGAGGCGCGGCTGCTTTCCCTTCCCTTCACTACTCTTCCCTTCCCTCCCTTCACTGCTAAGCCACTCGCTGCGTGCGAGCCTATAACAATCCTCGCCGCGCCGACGTGTCCCGCTGCCGGTGCCCGCCCTTCGCTCGATCCTGCTCCGGGCCTGCCCTCCGCCCGCCGCTTCGCTCGATTATCTTATTGTGCTCTGTCGCCGGGTTCCAGCTCGCGAGTGCGTCCTCGCCCAGATCCGCGATCCCCTTGCCATCATGCTCGCGCCCCTGTATTTCTCTAAATAACACCTGGCGTGTCTCTCCATGTGAGCCCGACGATGCATTTCGCCCCGCCATTCGTTCGCCTGCCTCGAATCTTTTCTCTGCTCCTCTGCTCCCATGCCCTAGCCTGCCCCGAGGGGCCTAGGCCCTGCTCCTCCGACCCCATCCCCCACCCTCATCCCGGACCAGATCTCCGCACTCGGATGAATGTTTGTTTCGCGGATAACGCAGCGAGCCATATTTCGACCGGGCCCCGGATCCATGACATAGCGCGCAACAGTGCGCGGCGTGTATGTATGTGTGTTCGGATATCTCGAACGTGGCTCATGTGAATCGTCATTCCCATCGCGACTCTAGATGAGTCTCTAGGGGAACACGTCTTCGGAATTATAAAATATTTCCCATCTGCTGCAATGTGCATAGTACTCCAGGCGTAACTGTGGTCCGGATCGAGCGATTCATGGCCTTGTCCATCCTGTCCACCGGCTGGGGCTTTTGTCAATCGCATGGAGCGTCTGTACTGTAGTTCTTGTGATGAGCTCTTGTGTGCAGGAGATCGACATCTGTGTCGTTGGCTCTTATGGTAAGGGAGTACCTGGTCTGCTCCACCGCGGTCACCGCCTTTCGTTTACGTGGTTCGCTGTCCTCCGGCCTCGGGTATTTGCATCTCTGGCACGGATCGCATCGCCGTTTATCATATTGTTATATATGACGGGGTGGTATTCAAGATTCAATGATCTTATGGTTTAGAGACTAGAAACTTTGACCCCGGTCAATTCTCGTGCAACGTGCCCAGGACGAATGTCATGGTTGGAAACTGATCGTCGATTCACTTTTTTTTTTAGGTACTGAATATTCGTTCATATGTAGTTTATCTTACATTTGTGATTTGATTTTCTTTCATCTATTAATAAATTGAACTTTATTTCAAAATCAATCTTACGATAGAATTGATTGGAAATATATATTGAGGAACAAACGTTGTCCCACGATTACGGGTCACATCCCTCTTCTCATGTTTCTCTCTCGTGACGCTAAAAAAGCAGCGGCTAGAACTTCTCGTTAAGAATAATCATGGCTTAAACATTTAGTGGAAGTAAATATCATATCAAGAGTACAGTAGTCTCCCATTTAAGTATGCACTTTGAACCCTAAACTTCTCTACGTATTTAACCGGGAGATGCGTACTTAACATTTTCATTTCCCGATAATTTGAATAGAACTCCAATGTCCAAAAAATTGAATATCAAGTGTCTGATTTAGTCCCAAGATCATTTCAAAAGTAAAATACTCCAAGAAAATTAGCTTTAGTGAGTTAGTATGAAATTAATGATGCATCTAACAATAAGTGGACTATTTTCTCAACCCCCTCGGAGAGCGAGTGCCAAAGATCTTTGGCATCACGTCATTATTTTTGTGATTTTCTGACTATTTTCAGGCGCTTCATTTTCCTCTCCCACCCCCATTTAATAATATGCCTATCATGCACCATATGATACTCTCATTTTTTCTTGATATCATCTGATCATTTCTGCGCTAGATGTGTCATGATATGAAAAATCAAAAGACTAGATTATTAGAACAGATATTTGCATCTTGGATTTTTCCCAATCCCGCCTTTGATCGTTAGATTTCTCTCGCTTGAGTCCCTAGCCCCATGGCATTTAATAGGGCAATAGGCTAGTCTCGACTGTGAAATTTTTGAAAATGTTGATCTCCCTGAAATTTTCAGAGAATTCGTTGGAAATGTTCATACCTGGAAATCTTCTGATAAATTGCGTACTTAGTTGGGATGCTTACCTAAACGGATGTAAACCAAAACCATAATTCAAAAAAAATTGTCATAGGACATTTCTAAATCGAATTATTAACAGATTTTCTTGACAGAATTCGTTAGCGCACAATAGTTTTACAATCAATTAGGAATCCACACCGGTAGGTATATGACGCAGATACAAAAATGTATACAGATTTTCTGTATGTACAACGTAAAATGTATTAAATGTAAATACAAATCCGCTAGTTCTTAATGTGACCCATGCATATATGTAGATTGAGGAATCCGAAGTTCTGGTATTCACTAGGCCACTACGGAGAGCATACGCAGCGTAATGTTTAACACGCATGTCTGCGCTACCTGTCATTCGTTAGTAGTCTGGGGATTTTTCATAGTTTCTTAAATTTGCTCTATGTGGAAGCTAAGAAAAAGCCTATGGAGAGAAAGAGTACCCAAAGTGCGAGACGAAGGACTGCATTCTTTAGTGGCTCTCCACCCAGATAATCTAAGGCTTAAGACATCAACTATTCACCGAATATTATGAACCGAAGATCAATTATCCATTGCTCCAAATGTATTCTTCCAATTCTGATACGATTTAGACCTAGATGCTAAATATGCTGATGATTTGAAAACAGATTTCTAGATGACTGTGAACGAAAAGGAAGTTTAACGCTGAAATTTATTGATTTCATTATAGGTTGTGGGTTAAAAATTTCCTCGCTATTTCCGAAAAAGATGTGATTTCTCGAGGATGTCATTAGTGATGAAAAATTGAAGAAGATGGAAACGATTACCGAAGGCCACGAATTCAGTACATTGAGTTTGAGGCAAGGATGCCACCAACAGAATCGGTAGACAAGTGTTTAGAAAATCCATTATAGAGTTCCTAGCTCAAGAACGTAAAGCTTCCACCTTCGAAGTCTACTTAGACCATAGCTTTATGTGAAGACCACCATGGATCCATATATTTTCCAACAACCACATCCACGCCCCTGAAGTCTTACCGATAAAACTTTGAAAATTGTTCTCCTTTGCTCAAGCTTCCCAAAGATGTTTGTGTTGCCATCTGTTCCGATATTCAGTAGAACATTTCAAGAGTTCTACAAAGAAAGTAACACACACACACCCACACTGAAATGCGAATAAAACATGAAGTAAAATGAGGCGCCCTAGTTTTACCGACGTGCTTCGACAAAACTCATATGCTTTTATGCTGTTCAAGGTTCTTTTGGTTAAAGTACAAAGCTCTCTTTCTGCCTGCCTGCGTGCCTGACAGATGAATCTGCCGGGTGCCACTTGAATTCGTCAGGTTTCTTCTCAACCACTAGGTTTCTTCCCTTTGTCGTCTTCGAAGTTGCTCCCATTTCCATGGGTATGTACCATGTCTGTGTTCCATCAACGCTCATAGGATACATCATTATTCGTATTTTGGACGGGAGGCCAATTTTCTGATCCTAAAGGACTGTCTTTTTTTTAATAAATGTACTACACCATTCATATATGAGAAACATACAGCGCAACAGTCGTCTAGACAAAAACACATCAGTGGGATTTGTCCTTTAGAAATTAAACAACCACGTCGACATACTACTGACATGGTTATATAGTACCCGATTTGCTCATGTCCATATCGATATCGACAGATGGGCAGTCAGAAGGAACATTGACATTTATAATTCGCACTGTGAAGGAACGCTTCTGATTTTAGTTTCAGCAAATTGAGCTTGACATGTTTCATGGGATAATTCATATGTGTCTCATCCTCCATTTTTTTAATTTTTTTTTTTTTGGGAACATGTTGAATTTACTTCTTTCTGCATCTTCACCACTAAAAGCAAGGATCTCCATGTCTTATCGTTTGGACCATGATGAGGTTACAGTTCTTAGAAAGTGCACAATAAGAAATTATATGCATGCATAGAAGTCTTACGAAATGAGGTTTAAGTGATACACACTCGACACAGACTGGACAGTATCAGTTGATTGCATTCAAGTGCGGCCGTCTTGATGGAATTGTACAGGCTTATCATGGACAGATGGAGCCTTGACCCATCTTTTCCGTAGAGCTTGAAGACAAGGACTCCTTATCTTAGAAGCGATCTAATCGACCTCAATGAAAGAAAGGACACGATGTCCCCAAAATTGTAGAAAATCATTTACGTCGAAAAGTACACCATTCTGAGTTTGAAGGTGGCTAGGCTGACCTCGTATTTTAAAAAGAATTGGTGTGATGAGAGAATCTGCTAGAATAGTTCAACAAGCCTGACAAGCTATTACGAAAAAGTTGCCCGCCGCAGCCTGTTGCACTTGCCAAAAGAGTGATATAGAAGGATGAGCAAGCATCATACACAAACATCTGTTCCGAAAGCACTCGATGGAGGGAGGAGAGGGAGGGATATACTGCTGCTGCTGGCGTGACGCTGCTTTTTGCGTATTGCTTATTGCTATGGCCTTCTTCGGTTCGGTAGAGAGTGATGCGAATGCTTAGGCCAGAGGTGGAAAGAGACAAGTTTTCTTTCTATGCTTCCAGATTGCGCCACCTCATTCGCTCGTCGATGCTTGAGAAGGTTCTCTGGATGAGAAACTGAACTAACGAAGGAAAAGGCGGTTGTCGATGTCTTCTAAAGTTCACTTTCTGATTTTCTGCTACTACGACTAGGTCCCGATGAAAGTACAGGTGACCGGTCTGAAAGTTAAAGTTTCCCAAGTGAACCGCCCAGAGATTCACCATTCTAGCTCCATCGAGACAAAAAACCAGGCAATTCTTCAGAAGGTGAAACACATCGTTAATTTCATCATTACAAAGTTTTCGACCTCTTTGATTGATTGCTGGCAAAACTAACTCCACCTTTCTACAAAAGCTGGATGTTTCATTTGTATCTCTCATCTCTATGAGAAATTGCTTGTACATCACAGGTACGAGCAATGGAGAGCCACCTGTGGCGTTTACTCGTCTTGGTCGACAACAACCTTCATCCTTCGTGTTTAGGGTTTATCGTTCAACTATATCTTCAAATTGTAGATCAATATAAGTTTTATTAGTAGGACATATACATCAATTATTAAATATTTTCCTTGCCCCAAAAAGGTATTTGTAGATTATACCAGTGTTCCATACTGTGAAAAGCAACGTTATTCTAGTAGATAGATCCTACGATGTGAACATTGCGTTCAGTAGCACATATGAACATGCAAACTTGATCTGGCCAATGTCCGCTAAATGTGCATTCAAATGCTTCAAACACATCAATAACACAACTCAGCTAGCCTGAGTAGAACCTTAAAAGTTGATTTATCTCCAATTGGCTGTGGTGTGGGTGTGGGCCTTGCTCCGAACAAGGCCCAAACACAACATGCACGAGAACACAAGACCCACACGACGCCATGCTAATTTCTTGTCATATTGGTTTGACTCGTTCTCTGGACTGAAATAGTTCATGAAGTTTAGGGTGATTCGAGTCTATCATGCATCATCACATGATTCTATCTGATTCATGTATACATAAGAATATCGAGTCGTATGACTAAGTAAGAGGAGTCATTGCACATTTGTATCCATCATCATTAAATATAATTGAAAGCAAGAAACGCTAATCATTCATTCAATTTGACCCATATTGAATATTCAGTGTCGTTTTGGTCAAAGCATAATGAATGTGTCCATCGCAAAGTCAAAATACAGGTAAGTTCTTGTCAAAAAGAGAGCTTTATGATAACCTGAAACGCCAGCGACGGCATCTCTATGCTGCAGCGAGCAATACTGCTTCACCTTTTGCATTTTGGGCGATGAAGATTGTATACATAAGGGCCATACATTGTATTCCCTACGGAATGCAATACATATTGGCTAGGTATCGAAGGATGCATAGGGAGTAGATCCTGGTTTTCATGACTACCCCAGAAGCGATAACAGTTCTTTCGGGAAGACTGGCAGCGGGATTGTCACTGTGAGTAGTAGGGACGATCGAAACGAAGGATGTTCGTTCTATTGCTCGAAAGTTTCACCATAAGCCGTCGAAGGTTTCGGTCGCTAATGACTTCCGCTCTGAGGACCTACTATGGGAGCAGCTACTCCTATGCATGGTGTAGAATCGGACTTGAATGAGCAGTCCATGTCCCCAGTGGCAGAGTGCTCTCGCTGGCCACTCACGGTCTCATGTGCCGCTTACCCGTGCTTCGATGCTCGCCTCGACGGAAAGGCATTAAACGACTGGCTCAGTAACAAGCTAGACTTCATCATTTTGTTGTGTTATATGCATTATATGTTGAACAGGTATATAATATACCTTTTCAACCCGCGGGGACTCTGTTCGAACGGACGGATGTTTAGATCTGAAGATAATGTGAGGGAGCTCACTACACAAACTTTAGATGAATACACGTTGTTTGCTTTTCATAGAATCAAAGTGCGGATCCCAACTGAGAATGTCTAACTGGTACCTGACCCTGGCAATCTTCAAGACTTGAAGAAGATGAAGGAACGAATCCATTCATAATACGCTGAACAGCTCTGTCCCACACAGAGAATCTGTGCACCTCTGGAATGTGTCAGGATTGGTTTGTCTGTTCTGTGATCAATTTTCAGACTCAAATTCCTCTTTCTTAAGTAGGTGGGTTTCCGAGATGAGATGGTAGACGCTGCATATGCTCTTCGGTATCTCCAAACGAAAGTATCTTTCTTGTCGTCCATTGCAGTTGAAGTTGCTTAACAACTCATTTTTTTAGCACGCTAAAACGCAATTGAAATGTCAGTTGCTTCAAGCTTAGTATTCAACAGCTGAGAAACAGGAAGCTGCCTTCTGAAGAATTAATGGTGAGTATTTAGCTCCTTCTGTGGACTGAACATGATAGGTTTCATGGTCCACTTTAGGTCTATTCTGTGGGGACATAGAACATAACCTGCCCTCAAGCTCATCTGACATTTCTTTTCGTAAGACCTGACAGGTTGAGCATCTGACAGTGCACATTTGTTGTTAATAAGAGCATGGCCTCATTGATTCCTGTAGACTGGCCTCATTGATCTCTGGAGATCGAATGATCCATTACATTCCACTTCTGCCAGCAGAAAGCACTCAAGAAGATTTGTCTAGTCCATGACCAGGCAACACGTGTCCTTTGTAGCTTTCTTGTTAGTCATTGATGACAGACGAGAAGATTGTTTACCGATGTAAGTCTCTTATTAACGTAAGAGATTTCTCCTACACCTCCAATTTCACTCTTCACTCCCGCTGGCAAATGTGCATTTCGTTGGAGATTTTGTTGAGTGATTGTTCAGGATGTTTGTTCAGACCGACGTGAAATTTATCGTATAATAAACCCAAGAATCGTCCGAAATATACAACCCAAGAGCTTTAGTTTTTACAAAGCGCACTGACTCTCTATGTCCAGTCGTTAAACATAAGCTAATGAATGTATTTAGTTGTAGAATTTAGTAAAGCAGAGAAGAAGGGAAAAGCTGGTGACAGATACCATGGCATTGCATTGTATTGAATGAAAATCATGAACATCATTTGTCATCCTGGGGCGACGGGAAAGTTGCCATAACCAAAATTCGTCCAACTCTGACCAGTAGGAATTGTAGGTATGCCACCTCAATTCAGTACTCATGAAAACATCTTTGCGGAAATGGGGACAAAATCAGGGAGGTGAATCTGGACCGAATCAGTTCCTTCAGAAAGGCGGAACAAAGGCTCTGCTCGCTGGAGCTTGAACAGCAGAAGTGGGCAATAGCTACAAACCAAGTGAAAAATATCTCAGTGATGAGATCACTCATCACTGGGCCCACATTAAGTTGCAGGATGTGAACCGTGGTTGCAATCTGCCGTTCGTCTACTGCGACCAGGAGTGGACGTAAGTTGAAATGACGAAAGCTAAAGCTCAAAGCTCAAAGATGATCCATTGGAACAAGATTGCAGCGCAAGTGCTTATCACGATGGGTTCTCTACCCACACATGAGCTATAGTCAGATACGGAATTCGAAGATGACGGCTGGATCTCCTCTCTGTCCGGAATCCATAAGTGTCCATGATCGGAGCAGCTTACTATTAACAAATTGTCTTCACTGCCCAACAGTGAAAAGGAAAGCTGCTCTGAATTCTGGCTGGGGCATTCAAGCAAAAGATTGTTCGCTACAATGCCCAGTCTGTAAGATCTGACTTCCGAGAGACTCGAACACGGTCTGTACCGAATGCGCCATGTTACAGAGGGCAATACCTCGAAACACGAATCGACTCTACCTCTGCTGACAGATGATGAATTCTCACGACTTGTCCTGTAGTTCGTGCGTGATCCAGCGGAAGGAGTGACCATCAATGGCCGCAACTACTCCCACGCGACCCAGTTTTCCTTCAATCGACTTTTCACAGAGTTTGATGATGACGATGGTGTCCAGGTGACTACGAAAGCCTTGGCAGCTTAGATTGTGGATGAATGTCAACGACTGTCAGTCTTCGAACTTTCACCATCCTTAATGACGACATCAGACTATGGAATTATGGACTTCGTATTCAGTTGACATTACAGTACTCGAGATCATGATTTGCAAATTACTTTAGGTGGCCCTGTGACCCTGCCACTCGGGTGTCATCGCACACTGGAAGATTTAAATCTAATGACCATTCGGAGGCGAGCGAGGCTCCACACGTAGCACCATTACGCTCATTTCAATATCACATTCCATGATATTGACATTCCGTGATCCATCAGGATTCACGGAATGTGATAATAGGAAGGACTGATAAACTCTTCTGAGCACTTGTAAGTAGCTTAAGGGGCAATGGCCCCTGAAGCTCGCCGGAGCAGGTCATGAAAATAATTCCGCATGTTGTCGGAAATGACCTCCTCCGTAGTACTGTACGTGTTTTGTGAAATTGTTATCAGTGTGAGTGCACGTCTGTATCTCATTTTTTTATCGCAAGTCTCGTTCTTGAATCAAGTTGACATAGCGAATTGTCTCAGATAGGGTTGCATGCGTTGCAATTTACGCGATAGCAATCACGAGGACGTATGTATACTATTGTATTTTATAATTATAAAATGTATATACAAAGTGACATATTAGGTACATCATTTCGGTACCTACTTCCTATTTAGATGATACCGGAGTTAGCACCATACTCCTCCTTTCCATCTCATTACGACTGGATGGGTCTTATGTCCTTTTTATATTTATTCTTCGTACCTCTTGTTGCCATGGGGCCCATCGATATGACCTATCCAATTTACCAAACCAAATGGAAAATGATTTTTTCAAGTCTAAATATCCAAAAGATTAAACTTGCGTTGTCGTTTGGGTTTGAAAATTACATTTTCACTATTTGCCCCTTTGTAGATTTGTGAGTCATGAAAACTTCACTTCTGAAGGTCTAATCATTAGACCTCATGAGAGGCATTAGACTAGGGTTGGAGGCACAGCCAAAAAGGCATGCCCCCGGGCGAGGGCATGGGGGCATGCCTCATTTGCACTTTGTATACGGGGCATGCCCGTATATATATACGTATTAATCATAACGTAACTTCGGAATATCCGTATATGCATCGTTTTTTTTTTCTATCCAGGTGCGAAACTTTTCATAAACTACGTCCCAGGTCTTAAATATGGTCTGCAGCAATGAAATGTCCCGTGATCTGAAACAACACTCAGAATCTGGTGTAGTGAAAACGTGGAAAACTCTCTGGTGTAGTGGTCTAGTACTTAGAATGTGATGTAGTTGTATAGTGCATGTGAAGATCATCTCGAAGTTTATTGTGCGATGTTCTATAAATTATAAAGCATCGTTCAGTATACTCTAACTATAACTAATTGTATCTCGATTATATTTTAGTTAAAGTTATTTATTATACATATAATCACGTATTATACTTAAATTTATGTATACTTTGTAAATATACGTATTGTGATACGTGCATGCCTGGGGGCACGGGGCATGCCTTTTGAACTTGAAATGGGGCACGGGCATGCGTTCAAAAAGTTGGTCGTGCCTCCAACCCTACATTAGACTCTAATGCCTCTCATGCTAAAGAAATTTAATCACTATCATCGTTGTGAAAAAAATGTTAAGTGTACAATTCTCCTAACAGTAAGGCAACAGCCTATTCACTTTCTTCCTTCCTTCGATTTGTTAGATTTTTACATATCGAGGTACACAATGTTCGTAATATCCTGAGTGTGTCACGGATGTAGTTGTCGGGAACATATCATGTACGTTTACGTTCTGTTCCATATATTTTTATGTTAACATTTCAAAGAAACAAGAATTTGCGAATGAAATTTCAAAAAAATTTTAACTTCATTTTTTTTTACAGTTGGCTGTTATTGAATTTTCGTTTCTTTTTCTCTGTTCGAAGTAATCGACATTTGGATTTTTGGATCTTTTTCGTTGAATTAATTACCTGGTTTTCATTCTATAATTTTAAGGACTAGGCAAGGGACATTTATATTTTCTTCACATGCGAGAGCATCATCCAGTAGTCGATTTCATTCAGATACAAACTTATTGTGGAGTTGACGATAAAAATTCTTAGTGATAGATGATAGGAATAGACAAGTCTATTTAATATAGTTTGATTTCCCATCCACAATTTTCAAAATACAATCTGTTAGCTGGAAGACTATTGTATGTCGACAATATTCAGTCATGTATTCGTAACAAAAACCAGAATCTTTCCATAATGTTCACAGTTCATACAAGAACAATAAGAGATAATTTCTCAGATTAACAAGATCGGGACTTTTCTCCAGTAGCGTCGAGCTTTTTGCCCTGTTTTATTAAAACAATTCATATGTACTTACAATCGTCGATAAATGAAGACAAGTCACGTTTGTCAAATGAGCTCGTGGCGTTGCCACGAGGAGTTTTTTTCTTTCCAAGAATAAATCTTCAAACTCAAAGAACTAATCAATGGGCTGCTAGTTTTAGGTGGACATTTTAATTAAACCTTCTAGCTTCTCGCGAATCGGATCGAATTTGAACAATCTTCTGTTCGTCAACAATGAACCATCGGCGTCCTCGGCCATAAGATCAATGTCTAATTGACATTCCCAAGCTCAAGACGTGTGTACGGTTGATTACTATGGACAATTGAAGACACATTCTCTCGTCCTCACTGTCTTCCCTTAGGAAGCCAGTCCTTTCCGTCGATCCAGTCAACAGTCATGAAAGGCTTAGCTTGCTTGGCAGTCAGGTTGTACGACCACTGCTCACGTCCCTGCCTGTTCGCACCAGGACCGAAACACTTGTACTCTCCGTAGAAAACAGTCCTGCACATATTGGTGACAGTCAGAAATTTAGCACAAGTCTTCACGACCAATGCCATAGATACATCACGGAAAATGTATGTGTGAGAAAAAAGAAAACTGAAAGAGAACTCACTTTTCTCTTCCGGGAATTCCCCAGTTGTACCATCCCTCAGGTCTGATAATATCATCGAAGTAAGTTCTGATGAACACGACACGGGAGTATGGACCCCAAGCTCTGGACAAATACAAGTATCCGGTACCCTTCACTTTGCAGTCAACGAATGAGTATCCAGTCTCTTCCTTCTTCGTCATTCTCTTTTGAGCTGTTAGCGAACCGAATGTCTCGGCAACCGATTCCAATGTACATTTCTCGTAGTACGATTGACCGTTTCCGAAAATGTAGTCAATACTTCCTCTGATGCGGCAATCCTTGAAGTAATGACGTCCATAACGATCATACAAAGTATCTTGGTAACCCAAGAATACGCAGCGGTAGAATGCAGCCTTGTCACCAGAAATTTCGAAGGCAACAGCTTGTTGACCCACAGCTCCAGGTTTGGGCGCCGGCGAAGTGTTCTGCAGGATCACGATGGGTTAGACAATCCAATTAATATCGGTAGCTGCGGTAAAATAGAGCAAAGCAATCTGCCTTCGCGTGCAGGTTAGCATTCAGACCCAGAGTTCACTTACAACTGTACATTCAGAGGCAACAATGGTCAGGAGCAACAGGGCTTTTGAGGCCGGATGTACTCAGTTTCTCCCGGCGTACAATCACAGAGAGAGTAGTCACTTCTATACTGTAACGTCTGATTTAACGAAATCAGAATAATCTGGAGGAAGATCTAAGCTCTGTTCAGGGACTGAGCTCAGAGTAAGAAAGTACCTCGAACGAAATGTCCTTCGCGATGAAGTGGTCAGATTTTACTGAAACAGAGGCACTTTTTAGAGTCCCGCCGGCCTTTTCAGCGTTCAAATTATAGGTGATCTTAGTCTTGTGATGTCCAGAGCCCAGCAGGGTGATGGGTCCCTTCTCCTTCGGAATCTTCACTCGTTCCCTACAGAAGGCAGAGTCAGCAATAAAATCAGCGACATTGGCAAATGTCTTGACTTTCTCCCATGCAGATGCACACGATACGGCAACCTATTCTCAGATTTTTGCTGAACGATAACTCCCATCTTGAAGCTAAACTTCACGTAACTCAATTTCCTACGTCGCCAACAGCTGGTATAACACATGAGAGAGGAATGTAGCACAATTTAAAGCCAAGACGGTGAGGAGGTTACATACTTGTAGACTCCTGGATTCACTTTAATGGTCCACCTCTCCTTATCTCCGTTAGGAATGGCTTTAATGGCCTTCTTGAGAGTCCTGTAATCACCCTTCCCCTTCCTATCCACCACAATGATCCTGGAAGCGGGAGCGGGTGCTGGGGAAGACTTTGAAGTGGCAAAGTTGACGTTAATTTTGGGCGCATGGACCTTCGACTCCTCCTTCTTACCCATGCGGTCGATCCAGTCCATCATCTCCTTCTCTATCTCCTCGTCCGTCCATGACTTCCCGTTTTTCGAGTCCACAGAAGCTCCCTGAGCTGCAACCGCCACTAGAGCGAGCAGCAGACACACGAAGACCTGCCGGCCAGCCATGCTGGGCGAGCCGAGCAGCTCTCAACGAGCAGCAGCAGCTAGCAGCTCTGTCGACTCAGACCAGCACTGTCCCTGCTGCAGCTCTCGAACTGGGTCTCTCCCAGACTGGGAGAAGCTCGATCCGTATGTGTACCAGATCGTACTCTGCTACTTTCCTCTCTCGGTGACTCACTCAGAGCTGCCCGAGGGAGCACGGCCACTCTGCGTTACTGGGAAGACGGGTTAGCGAAGAGGAAGTGGATTGTACGTAAGCTGAAGACCATCTTTATAGGAGAATATTGGGGGCTAGAGCATAGCCAGACGATGGAACGCGCTTACTGGAGCTTTCTATATCTGTGAAGATGTGCATTAGCTGGCACATTAGGTGCTGTAGCGAGGTCACGGAGGCGAGAAGAGTTAAAGTTAGCTGTGCTGTCAACCGCTGTTGACTCCGCCAGTGCAAGCGAGGGCTCTACAGTTGGGGAGGATGCGCATGTTCGAGCCCCTCTCTCCACCTGCTGTCGGGCCTATGGAGGAGGGAGGAACTCAAGGACGACGACAGAGGCCTACGAGAGCTTGAGCTCGCGTCTGCGTTTCCGGGAAGGGCTCAGATATGATAAATCTCAGTGATCTCAGTAGCAGTGGACACCACCAGCTCGAACCGGCCACGGAGCAGCAGCAGCGAGGCCTCGGCAGGACGATCCGGCTTGCCATTTCTGGCGTTTGTCCTCTGCAGCTGGTTCTGCGCACGCGCTGCGATCGGTCTGAGACCTCCGTCGATCTCATGCAAACGACAAAAGGTTTGTCCTCCCCAGCGCCTCGCAGAGCAGTCCCTCCATCCGCGGACCCGTCGAGCTAAATCCATCGAGGGATCGAGCGGGCAGCCGGCAGCCCGGGCCAGCACACGGTATTATTCATTCGCATTCTGGAAGCCCTCCCTCCATCGGGAGCTTCGTCGAAAAGTCCCCGGCAATCCGAGCTAGGAGTCTATCTATTTTGAAACATCTACGATCGGCCAGTCGACATGGGCTACGCGAGCGAGTGACCGGGTCACACCTGTGGGCGACGATTCATCATGCTCGCGCTCGAGGTGCCTCGGAGTTTGCAGCTGGACGCGAGTAATAACGCTGATAACGTAATAAGTTGGTTCTGCCCCCGTTGACCTCCGGGGGATTTACAGTGGGTCTAAAGGGACCTCGCGCTTCGTTTTGCAGCACATACCTTGTGCGCGTGCTTCGCTCGCGACGAACCTTATATGTCAAGTACAGTTGGCAAACTGTCTCTTGCGAATTCCAGCGCTCGCCCTGTGCTCTGCTCTTTCTCGCGACCTGCTGCAGCCCAACTTCCGTGATTTGACTTCCCGGTCTGCGGGTTCTCTTCCACGCTTCTCCCCTCGTCACTAACTCCGGACCTTATCCCCATGATCCCATATTGCCTACAGCGCGAACTCTTACGTGCTCGCCACAAATCTTGCACGACGATCGTCCTTTTATTCAGTCTGCGAGGCGCTTTGAAATCGGCCATGGGTAAAAATGGATACTACCGCGAGATTTTTTCCTCAGATTTGGACGTCCTGAATAAATTCAATGTGGGACTGTGTTGGTGAGACGCGTCCTTTGTTTTTATTATGTCTACTGTCTGCGATAAAAGATTTTAGAACTGCTGATATTTATATCGCTGCATCAGAGTCCTCGTTGTCTCGAGACGGGAGATTCAAGTGTTTGACGCCTGGTATACATTCAAGGCTTTGAACTTATGGCCAGCACTCTTTGGGGATCTCCTTGGTCAAATATCACAAGGCCTTACGTGCGCTTCAAACAGCACCAGTACGTAGACTTCTAATAACAGCTTCCATTGTTACGCCTTGTTGTAAACGCTGCATATATTGCGAGCTTACCTTCAGAAGCACACTACGGTAGACCGGATGTTCGACGACCTTCTGATCCTAGCTGGAGCAAGATCCACGATGAATCTGCCAACTTCATCGAACCTTCACGCAAACATTGCTCGTTGGAGCTTGTTAAAGCACCAATAGTAGAACCTACAGACATTGACTTTTCTCGCGGCTTATGGCTTATGAAGGCCTGGGAGAAGCTTGCCACACATGCCCTGTGGCAGGCGAGCGCAAGCCTCTTGGCATCGGAGACGGGGGAGTTAAACTCGCTGACCTCGATGTTCCGCCGACACATCTGTACATATGCCTCTCGCTCACTTTCGGCTTAACTTTTTCCTGGACGAAGGAAGCAGGAAGGACTGACTTTGGAGTGGATCCAGCAGGCATACTAATTAGCAATACGTTTCTGGTGCCGGTGCTTGGGCCAAGTGAGTGCTTGCCATTGTTTGTTAGAGTGAATGGTGGCCAGCGACCCACAACCAACTATCTTACAACCAACTATTTCTCCATTCTAGTTGACCCTGTTCATGAATGTCTATTTTAAGCTCCGGCCTTCGCTCCTCTCTAAGTGTTGCATGGACGACATCTCCGTTCAGTGTAGATAGGGCAGAGCTCACTTTTGTTCAGCCCCATCGTTTGACCACACAGTATCCTCCAGCAGGATTGAGATGTATGCCTCACTGGCTCAAACTTATCCAATCTCTCGATTTACTTCCCCTCTCGAGAAGTGTACAGGAGAGAAATCCAGTGCACTACTCCCGCTCCTGTGAGCAATGCCACCCATGAACCTAGAACATAGCTCGGCTTAGCTCATTTGAAACACAAGCCCGCTCACTTAAATCCACTCCTTTCCGTCGACATAAATCAGCTAGAAACCCAGCTCAGCTCTACTGCGCTCATTTACCCTTTCGCGTCGTGCATCTGGACCTAGATATCATCACGCCTCTTTTTATGCTCCTCTTGGATGTAATAGGACCTATTTCCCGTTGTGATGCTATCGCGGCCTAGCCCGTGTTACCCCTTTTGATGGGGGGTCTCCTATCCTTTTGGTAATTTTACTTGATACCTTTTTCATGCTGGAATAAAGCTCCTTTTGCTTCTCATGTTCTGGCATTGCTTTTGTTGAGCTGAGGTGGACCGTGTTTATGATTTGGATCCATAGTGGATGAGATGCTCGGAGAGTGTCATTATCATTCCATATGAATGAACCTCGTCAAACACCTGGAGAGCCTATTTGGAAGCACAGCAATGATGGAACTTTTAGGTGCTCGTTGGATCCAAAGTCCTGCACAGACTCCTAGTTTTCAAGGAGCGAAGTAGTCTCCTGACGTGTTGGAAGAGGCTGGTTCGAGTGCAACATTTGCTCTATCGTTTCACAATAGGCGATCAACTAACGGTTCTTCAGTCCACCAGAGAGTCTCGATGTGCGGAAACGTCTCTTGCGTCCACATGCCCATGTCTCCTCGTCGGCAAAAAGTGTCTTTGTCCCAGAGGACTATGAGTAGAACGCACTGAATCACATGGCGTTGCCGGTTGCACTCACATAAAGAAGCGCGACAAAATTCTGGAACTGTTTGTCTTATTAGCGCTCATAAATCCTTCCAATACTTGTTTCAGAAGGAATCTTCATTCGGGTCATGGTCTACCGAGATGCATACCCCCAGCAGCAGCAGCACGTTGCACGGTGCACCACAATCTCCTTTCAGTTCTGACATGCTCCATAGCTCTGGCAAACTGTTCTTCTTTTTTCTTGTTGTGTGTGTGTGTGTGTTTTTATGGAATTCTAGCTTACCATTAAGTGCATTCGAACTTCAATTGAAAGCACTGAATCGTCAAAAATTTATAACGATGTGCAATTGCACAAACTTGGATTCCATCCAACACCGAGAGCTGATATAATTCCAGAATGAATGACTGTTGTCGACTACGCCGAGGTTTGTTACCGTTTAAGAATCCCATGAAAGACTGGAATTGTTTGTTTCGCCGTTTCTCAACGGGAGAACTCACGAAGACTGTTACTCGTGCTGAGAGCACCGATAAAGTCCTCGAAGTGGTATATTTGCATCAATGCTATTACTTAGCGGTCATCGGTCGATGTAAAGTGTAGAAGGTACCGTGTGGTGAAATGCACCCAGTTGTGTAATAATCAATTATGCAAGACAAACTGTGGCTCTATGCATGTGATGATGAATGTTCCTATGTAGTCCACTTAACAACCAGCACATACAATAAATGCAAAAAGGACCACGCATAGATTATATCTACATCTTTTATACATAGTCACTCGCGATGAGACAACCAAAACCTGACTCATCAAGCTTCAATGTAAACTCAAGATATATCATCACCTTCATGGATGCATCCCGTTTCGAAAAGAAAAACAATGAGAGGAGGAGGGGAAAATCAATTCAATAGTCTTCCTCGAATCTTACTTCTCATTTCTTGCTAACAGACTCAATTTCCAGATAAATCCAAAACGAGGGAATAAAACAAAAAATCTTGAGAATAAAGCTCGGTTTCTCATATTACGCGGAATATGCATCCGTCCCTCAAGATTACCCTGAATGTATAAGCAGAGAGATTTTAGAGAATTGACTTTTTTCAATGATAATTCGATCGATGATGATATTCCAGAGTGTATATAATTACTCGGCTTTTAACCCTTCAAATTTTTAAATATGATAGCAAAGGAATTAAAGCTCAATTCTTTATGTACAAAGCGTATGATTTATATTCATTCATAAAAACATTATGCAATATCAAGCTCAATTAAGTATTTAACCCTTAAGTTTTCACCTCTTTATTAGTCACATGTTAGAAGTTAAAAAACAGGTATTTTGACCCTGTTGTATATTCCAATAATATAAGGACTAGGTGTCATCCAATTGTATCTCTGGTGTTAATTTTTCAGAAGCTCACGGTTTGATCGCATGGCTTATCAAGTGGTCAAGCAGATAATGGTGGATATAAAATCGACATTCGCAACAACCTACTGTGTCTAACTTGCATCTTTATTCTAATTTTGCACTGTATGTACAAAGACAAAACATTTCAAATTTCATAGTATCCATGTAACATTTTAAATATTTATACTATATTATTTAGAAGCTTGATACCATGAATATAAAATACTATTATCACAGTTCTGAATCAATTGTCTATACTACATTTGTAATATGAACATCAAGATTCTCTGTTAAATTAAAAAATGATTTTATTACTTTTGTGATATAAACATCAATTTTTTTGTAAATTAGAAAAACACAGGAAAATTTAATGAATTTCATTGAATTTATAGATAAACAGCACAAATATGAAATCAATATTGATCATGCTAGCTTGATATTGAATTT